AGTTCTGCGTCTGTCTTCACCTGGCCTGTCCTTTCTCTCTGAAGGACACCAGTCACTCTTCTTGAAAGCCTTAATGCTTGCCAAGACCCTCCTTCCAAATGTAGTCACCCTCTGAAGTTCTGGGTGCATATGCCTTTGGGGGACCATTATTTCACTAGCTACAACACACACAAGGATAGGTGAGGGGAAAAAGTTACACTTCTAAAATGCCCTTCCAAAGGTAACAACAATTTTTACTTCCACCAAAAGAGTATTAAAGTGCTCTTTTCCCTACATTCTTACCAACTTTTTAAAACTTTTTGGTAAATTGATGTGCAGCGAAAAATAATGTTAACATTCTTGTTTCTATTACATCTCCCTAATTTATAGTATCAGTTGATCCTCTTTTCATGTATTTAATGACTATATGTACTTCTTTTGTGAAGTATCTATTCACAAATTTTGTCATTTTCTAAATGGCAATGTGTCATCTTCTCCTCAATCTTTTAACAACTTCTTACAGTTTGGATATTGATATTTTGTCTAGTATATACAATGGCACAATTTCCTCTAAGTCTGTTATTTATCCAACTTTGTCTTTCCCTATGTCACATTGAAAAATATTTAATCAAATCTGCCAAATTTTTCCTTTATGGCCTCTGGGTTCTGTTTAACACTTTTAAGATTTTTAAGTCGCCTAGGATTTTATGTGTTATCACAAAGTAGGACAAATAGAGAGTTATGAGTTATAGAAAGCATTCTATTCAGCTTGCAAATGCCCTATAAATGTGAAAATATTTGAGGAGCCAGAGGATGGTGTAGGCTAAATGTGAAAATACAGAAAAGAAAAACAATAGGAAAAGGTATAAGTCATTTACAGTCCAACAACTGCTGATACGCAATGATGCACTACACATGAAAAGAGAGAAAAAAAAAAAATCCAAGACAGATTCATTCACTGTCCTCCAGAAGTCTACAATTCAGACACAAGCAGAAATATTTTAAGCAACAGTCAAGCAGCAATGACTGAAAAAGTAAAAAATTAGCAATAGGCTTCAATCTATGAAGTACACGGATTTGAAAGTACAATGGGAAAGACAACTCTGATAGATCTCAAAAGGGACGGTAAATACACCCAAATTCAAAAAATTTTAACTCTCATCAAAGTATAATAAACAGCTTAATGAACTTCTTCAAAGTAAACTTACCTGTATAAGCAGCTCTCTGCTCAGGAAAAAGTACATGACCAGCACCCAAGAAGCACATCCTGCCTTCCTTCTTGGCACTCCCCAAAGCTCAGATTGGCTTTACTGAGATTTTTACTTTGTATTAACAGAACAATATACTACATATTTCTTTATCACAAAATATGTTTGTGACATTCATCCGAATTTCTGTATGCAGGTCTAAATTGTCCTTTCCCATCACTGTACGGTGTTCCAGTGTGTGAATTCCAGTACAGCACTCATCTACAACACCAATGATGGGGAGTTCGCATATTCCTACTCTGGGCTCCTGTGAAAAATACTGCTATGAATGACCATTCTAGTACATACCTTTTGGAGAACACATTTTTTTCATTTCTGGTTGGATACATACTAGGAAGTAGAATTGCTGTCACAGAATGCATATTTGTTCGGTTTTAGGAAATACTGCCAAACAGTAGCTATAAAACAGTAGTTACGATTGTGCGACATTCTCATCAACATTTGTTACTTTCCACCTCTCTCATTTCGGTTATTCAGGTGAGTGCACAGCTAACACAATTATTAGGGATAATGTGACAGTTTCAGATGACAGTTGGCAAGGCTCTTGCAACAAAAGATCAAATAATGAGAAAAGTAAGAAGCCTTCAAAAAGAGTATGGTATTAATTAGCTCAATCATGAAGCCAGCAAACAGTCCTTAAAGGGAGATAAAAATATAAAAGAAAGTAGGAAGCACAATGAAAAAAATGACTAGTGTTCTGATAATTGTAACCTATAGCATGGGTTTCCTACATTTCTAGAGAGACCATAGCTATTTTATTCCAAGGAAATGAATATCATATGTCTGAAGGTAATACATTTTAGCAGGAACTTCTTACAGAATAGCTTTGCTATATACCACAGTGTATAATTTCCTATCTGTACTATATGAAATACATTTAGGAAATAACAATTTTAGTTAGGACATGCATTGTTAGTAAACAAACAAAAATTACACATAATCTGTAACAAAACTACCTTATATATGTTTAATATTAAGAGACTTTCACTCAGACTAGTGGAAAAAAAAATTCTGATTAAAAAGGAAAATACACATTACTTCCATTTTGCAGGTGACTAGAACTTGACCTCACCTCAGCCACAAGCTCCGAGGGAATGAAAACCATATCTCATAATTTACAACAGTCCCTCTGTACAAGTTTAGCAGAGTATTCTTAGCAGAACATTCAATAAATACTACTTACCAACATGTTAGAATATATAACTACTCATCAGTATATCACATATGCTGCTTCATGTCATTGGTGAAAAATGATTAGATATTTATATTAGAATTCGGAAAGATCTAAAACTGCTTAATCACTTTCTAACAAGAATTCATTAACAGGCAAAGACTTTTTAAAATTATAAACAAATACTACAAACTTCAAATATAATAAAGTAGAAAGCTCAAACTATGTCCAATGGCATCTGCTAATAGATCAAAGCTCTTTCTTTCTAAATAAAGCTTTGGTTTATTATTTCCCCAAAGCTTACCTGGGTGAGATTACTCCAACCAATGAACTACATTATTAAATTATAAATGCTGACTCATAAAAGAATGGTAGCAGTGATCACACATAAGAAGTACATGACTTTCTGGGAGTTTATTTGGGCTTGATCTAATTCAACTCATTACAGCACTCATCTACAACACCAATGATGGGGAGTTCGCATATTCCTACTCTGGGCTCCTGTGAAAAATACTGCTATGAATGACCATTCTAGTACATATCTTTTGGAGAACACATTTTTTTCATTTCTGGTTGGATACATACTAGGAAGTAAAATTGCTGTCACAGAATGCATATTTGTTTGGTTTTAGGAAATACTGCCAAACAGTAGCTATAAAACAGTAGTTAAAGTTGTGCGACATTCTCATCAACATTTGTTACTTTCCACCTCTCTCATTTCGGTCATTCAGGTGAGTGCACAGCTAACACAATTATTAGGGATAATGTGACAGTTTCAGATGACAGTTGGCAAGGCTCTTGCAACAAAAGATCAAATAATGAGAAAAGTAAGAAGCCTTCAAAAAGAGTATGGTATTAATTAGCTCAATCATGAAGCCAGCAAACAGTCCTTAAAGGGAGATAAAAATATAAAAGAAAGTAGGAAGCACAATGAAAAAAATGACTAGTGTTCTGATAATTGTAACCTATAGCATGGGTTTCCTACATTTCTAGAGAGACCATAGCTATTTTATTCCAAGGAAATGAATATCATATGTCTGAAGGTAATACATTTTAGCAGGAACTTCTTACAGAATAGCTTTGCTATATACCACAGTGTATAATTTCCTATCTGTACTATATGAAATACATTTAGGAAATAACAATTTTAGTTAGGACATGCATTGTTAGTAAACAAACAAAAATTACACATAATCTGTAACAAAACTACCTTATATATGTTTAATATTAAGAGACTTTCACTCAGACTAGTGGAAAAAAAAATTCTGATTAAAAAGGAAAATACACATTACTTCCATGCAGGTGACTAGAACTTGACCTCACCTCAGCCACAAGCTCCTAGAGAATGAAAACCATATCTCATAATTTACAACAGTCCCTCTGTACAAGTTTAGCAGAGTATTCTTAGCAGAACATTCAATAAATACTACTTACCAACATGTTAGAATATATAACTACTCATCAGTATATCACATATGCTGCTTCATGTCATTGGTGAAAAATGATTAGATATTTATATTAGAATTCGGAAAGATCTAAAACTGCTTAATCACTTTCTAACAAGAATTCATTAATAGGCAAAGACTTTTTAAAATTATAAACAAATACTACAAACTTCAAATATAATAAAGTAGAAAGCTCAAACTATGTCCAATGGCATCTGCTAATAGATCAAAGCTCTTTCTTTCTAAATAAAGCTTTGGTTTATTATTTCCCCAAAGCTTACCTGGGTGAGATTACTCCAACCAATGAACTACATTATTAAATTATAAATGCTGACTCATAAAAGAATGGTAGCAGTGATCACACATAAGAAGTACATGACTTTCTGGGAGTTTATTTGGGCTTGATCTAATTCAACTCAGTGTTAGAATTTCTAACATTTATAAGTTAAATCAATATTCGATATTTTAAACTTAATGGAGTGAACAACAGAATTTATAAAACTTGTGTGTATTTAGCTGATCAGTAATTTATGAATTATGAGAAGTTATTTAATTGATCAAAATATATAAAGTTTTAAGAATCATAAAAATGACTGAAGTATAACCAAGAGTTTAAGAAACCATTAAAGAAACACTAATGGAACATTAGCGCGGAAAATGGATGAGAGACTGGAATGAAATCTTTTGATGGCGAGTTTTTCAGTGAAGAGACAAAAAGAATGGCTGAGAATGGAAAACAGCGAATGCTCCAAAACTACTCAGACATAAAGGAGGAATACAAGTCGTCAAGCAGCAGCTGTCAGGGTGGGCGTGCACGGCAGCGCGGGGCGCGACTGTGAGTCCCCAGCAACCTCAGAGCTGTCTTCTCCAGGAACGGCGCCTACCTTCGGTCAGCTCCTTGCTCAAACAGAAAGGGAGTGTCGCATTACAAGGAAAACGCAGATGAATAAAATACTGGGTTGGCCGAAAAGTTTGTTCGTGTTTTTCTGTAAGATGTTACGAAAAACCCGAACGAACTTTTCAGCCAACCCAATATGCTAATGGTTTGTGAATACACGAAGATTTCCGAGTCCAACATATGTGTTACGCTAGGTACAAACAGTCACACTAAAAATAAAATGCTAAAAACTCACTCACTGTCTTCTGTGGGAAGGACCTGCAGGGAGTAAATCCACTCTATTATATCATCCTTGTTCACCACATCTAAGGAGTCCAACATATCCAGCCCAGAGAGTGCAAAAAATGCAATAGTCAACCTAAAAAGAAAAAAACACAAAATTCCATCTTATCAAACCAATGAATTCTGTTTCAGAAAAATAATAAAGTCATCTAACTTTACAATAACTTAAACAATAGCCCCAACTTGTAAAACAAAAAAACCCAATTTATTCTTATAATTTAATAATATCAATCAAACCTTTAATTTCTAATATAGGGACATTTAAGGCTTAAGAACTCAATCCTACTCATCTGAAGTACATGTGAATTCACTGAAGCCAGGTTATAAGCAACCTAAAGGCTAAAAGTAGAATTGAGAAAGAATTCCATGCACCTAATCAGTATACATAAGGCCAAAAGGATGGAAAATATATACAAATCTCAATTTTCACTGATTCACCAAGAGCAATTTATCAGTTCAGTAGCTCAGTCATGTCTGACTCTTTGCCACCCCATGGAAAGCAGCACACCAGGCTTCCCTGTCCATTGCTCCTGGAGCTTACTCAAACTCATGTCCATCGAGTCGGTGATGCCATCCAACCATCTTATCCTCTGTCATCACCTTCTCCTGCCTTCAATCTTTCCCAGCATCAGGGTCTTTTCAAATGAGTCAGTTCTTCGCATCAGGTGGCCAAAGATTTGGAGTTTCAGCTTCAGTATCAGTTCTTCCAATGAATATTCAGGACTGATTTCCTTTAGAATGGACTGGTTGGATCTCCTTGCTGTCCAAGGGNATTTGTTTATAAATAATGTGACCCCTTGGGAAAAAAGGGGGGGGGATAAAGAACACTAAAAATGCAAAAGTATTTTAATTCCCATTTCCTGGAAATGAATACTCTTTGATGAAATGGAACACTCTAAAGCGAAATCCCCCCCTCCACAACTGTGCGCTAACTCAGAAAGCTAAGTCTGTGCTTTCACACAAAGACCAGTCCCTGAGTAGTCGCTTTTACATGGAGAGTTTGTTGCAGTTCCTTTCCTGCTGAGATGCATCCTACAGTGTTGTCTGATTGAACATGGCTATCTCATTTCCACATTCTAGTAACTCCTATGACTAATACTGACAAACTAGTACTTCAAATTGTCTGGTCTAAAGTCATCTCGCAGGCCACTCAATGCATTCTATAACCTTTTAAATAGAGATTCCAAGAAAAAATTAAGCCTTAATGCACGAAGGCAATCACTATATATAATTAACTTCTCTTCTCTGCATTTAGAATGGTATTACCAACTTTACGAGAAAGGAAAAATAGTCATTTTTTTAAAGGGTATAATTCTCTCTCTAATCCCTGGTTGAAAAGGCTGGCACCCATTAGATAACAGGAGGCGAAATCACAGAGCAATTTAATTCCAACTAAAGCTTAAAGGCAAAAATTAAAACTAGTGAGATACTGGTATACTCAAGAAAACATCCTGGAAGACTTACGTTATCGAGAGATTGGAAAGTGGAAAGTGAAAGTCGCTCAGTCACGTCTGACTCTTTGCGAACCCATGGACTATACAGTCCATGGAATTCTCCAGGCCAGCATACTGGAGTGGGTAGTGTATCCCTTCTCCAGGGGATCTTCCCAACCCAAACTTGAACCCAGGTCTCCCGCATTACAGGTGGATTCTTTACCAGCTGAGCCACACGGGAAGGCCATTGAGAGATTATTATTATGTATAGGCAATGACCTGGAGAAGGAAATGGCAACCCACTCCAGCATTCTTGCCTGGAGAATGCTGTGGATGGAGGAGCCTGGTGGGCTGCCGTCTATGGGGTTGTACAGAGTCGGACACAACTGAAGCGACTTAGCATGCATGCATGCATTGGAGAAGGAAATGGCAACGCACTCCAGTGTTCTTGGCTGGAGAATCCCAGGGACAGAGGAGCCTGGTGGGCAGCCATCTATGGGGCTGCACAGAGTCGGACACGACTAAAGCGATTTAGCAGCAGCAGCAGCAGCAGGCACTGACCTAAAAATTTTCTCATTATCTCAGTTTAATTCCAACAAGTCACTGAAATCCACTTGAATTAGAGAGGTGATTTATCTGAGTAAGATCAGGAATAAACAAAGGGGAGTGGAATCCCTTTAGGTGGGAAGCAGTAGCTGAGAGCTCAGATCTGCAGTCAAATGAGCTAGCTTTAAATCCTCAGTTGGCCAATTTCTATCCATCTGTAATCTGGTTAAGTTACCTAATCCTTTCTAATTCTTTTCTAAATCAGCTTCCTTACCTGTGAATCATTATACTTCACACAGTTATTGTGCTTAGCTGCTCACAAGCAAGCACTGATTAAATGGAAGCTATTACTATTGGTATTTCCTGATTTGAAGGGACAGCACTAACACAGGCCTTTTCATTGGTTGGCCATCTCCACCATCCCCTCACCTCCAACCACTCTTCTCTAAAACAAAATGTTTTAGACATGGGGAAAATTTCTACCTAACAGTATCCACATTTGAAAGTCACTTCTCTTGATGAAAATTATGTTTCATGAGCTAAGGTCTGCCTTGTGCATGGTATGCAGTCAAATAATTTACAGAATTAACTAACAAATAAAGGACCTGCAATATTACATCTAACCTTCCTGGAGAGCTATCACTGGGTTCAGTTTTGCTGAAATCTATAAAGTGAGTAATTTAGTTTATTAAATCATTAAATTTATTAAATCAAATAAAGTAATTTGGTACCCCCCCAAAAAAAAAAATCATTACTATGTGCTCAAGCACTTCAGTCGTGTCCAGCTCTTTGTGACCCCATGGACTACATATACATAGCTCACCAGGCTCCTCTGTCCATGGGATTCTCCAGGCAAGAATACTGGAGTGGGCTGCCATGCCCTCCTCCAGGGGATCTTCCAGACCCAGGGACTGATCCCGCCTAGCCCGCATTGCTGGCGGAATCTCTAAGCAAGATGAAGAGATAAGTGACAGACAACATGAAGATGTTGAGAAAACAATGATCTTCCCATTACTAAAATATGCTCCAGAAAAACATAAACAAGGGGCTGTAAAAATAAATAGGTGTTACTTTTTAAATTAAAAGCTGAAGTCATCCAGTTCACCTCTTTAGTTTTCTAGCTCAAGATAATAAAATCCAAAGAACTCAAGTAACTTCCTTCAGATTTCAATGCTAGATAACCAACAGAAACTACTGAAGAGGCTCTGAGTCAAAAGGGTATATGTCTCAAGTATGGCGCAATTAGAATTGGCTTAAAGACAAACAATACACCACCAGCAAAACCTAGAGGCCAAGACCTCACTACACAGCAAAGAAATCAGAAATTCTAGATGGAAGGCAGGGTCTGGAACCTGGGGTTTGGGTGAGTGGGGATGGGAAGTAGTGAGCTTCCCAGGTGATTCTAGTGGGCAGCAAGGCTTACAGAAGCACAGTGATGTTCCACTGGGGCAATACTGCTCCCAAGTGGCCATTCTGAAGACAATTTTGTTTTTCATTAGACAAGGGTGCTCCTCGCTGTATATAGCTGGCAAAAGCGAGGTATGCTGCTATGATGCACGAGACAGCAGCGTCCAACAAAGAAGTATCTGGACCAAAATGTCAAAAGTGCTGAGGTCTAGAGACTCTGCTCTCAAATCACACTGTTATCTGTATGTAAGTGTTAACTGAATGATCTTTTTTTTACAATTATACTTGTACTATGATATGGAAATCAGTCATCTGATGGTAAACTATTTTAAAACCTTGTATACTTAATTATTAAAAGCTTCTCAAAGTCCAGCATTTTCAACCCATAGCAGTTTAGACTAAGGTTTATAGGCTTGACAATACTATAGTGAAAATTTTTTTATCAAATTTAGCATCCAGCAGTGGCTGGCAGAAGAGAACCAAGAAGTTTTTGGAGCAAATATCCAGCCTTTCTGTAAGATAAGATAATAAGAAAACATTCCTTTTTGGACCACACTAGAGTTCTCAAGTAGCCCTAAACCTCTGAGAGCAAGAGAAGTAAATATTTCCTAAGGAATAAAAAGGAATTCTGGCTGGGGGCCTCTGGGAGAAATAATGTGAGGTTTTATGGTGCCTAGGGTAGAGACCGTCAGGCCACCTGTCTTGGTGCAGGCATCTAGAGGGAGACTGTGCATGAGATGAGGCCAGTGAAGGGATTTTCACTTTACTACTTCTTCAGAGTACATCTGTCTGTTTTCTTCCTTTCTTCTTTCCCCTAGAATTGAACCTGAGTCTGTAGCCTGAAAAACCAAACTAAGCCACGTCTTCCCGCCCCTTCTCCTACTCTCAACATTACATATAAAAAGTTTATCTTACATGGATGAAGAAGTAACATCTCCACCCCATCCCCCACCCCAATCAAGTTCCTTCACCAGCAGACCAATTTGCATGTAAGAGACATAAACTAAATGATGCTTCCAAAAGGCCTCACATTTTTTAGACTTAAGAACAACTGTTTTCAGGCTTAGAAAACAGCACAAAAGAAGTAAGAATTAAATAGAACCAAAAGAAAAAAGGAAAAACATTCCGCGCAGTGGGGGAAAAAAAAATCTAGCCATACTATAGTGTGACTCTTGAATACAAGCTTGAACTGCATGGGTCCACTTACATGTTGGTTTTTTCCCCAGTAAGTATGTACTACAGTATACCACACACAATCTGAAGTTGTGGAACTTCTGGTAAGGAGAGCCTGACCTCTGATATTCCATTGCATATCCTGGGCCCCGACCCAAGTTGCTCAAGGATCAGTTGTGACATGATATTCCTATGCTATTATCTGAGTATTGTACCATCAGGTCAGAGCAAGTGAATGATCATTTGGGGTATAACAGGAACACTGACTTATGGGGGTTAGGGATCAGGGCTTCTCGAATAACTCAGTTGGTAAAGAATCCGCCTGCAACGCAGGAGACCGGTTCTATTCCTAGATCAGGAAGATCTGCTGGAGAAGGGATAGGCTACCCACTCCAGTATTCTTGGGCTTCTCTTGTGGCTCAGCTGGTAAAGAATCCACCTGCAATGTGGAAGATCTGGATTCAATCCCCGGGTTGGGAAAGATCCCCTGGAGGAGGGAAAGTCTACCCACTCCCGTATTCTGACCTGGAGAATTCCATGGAGTATACAGCCCACAAGTTCACAAAGTGTTGGACATGATTGAGCGACTTTCAGTTTCTTTTCACGGGAGTTGACTAGATTCTCAAATTTTGGGTCACTTGCTCTGCTACTTTTTAGCACAAAGTTCTTTACTGACATCTACCAGCATCTTCAACAATAGACTGCATTCCTGCGTAGATCTAAGGTGGGGCTATGGCCAAACCAGGGCTTTCCTGGTGGTTCAGTGGTAAAGAACCTGCCTGCCAATGCAGGAGACTTGGGTTTGATCCCTGGGTTGGGAAGATCCCTTGGAGAAGGAAATGGCAACCCATTCCAGTGTTCTTGCCTGGGAAACCCCATGGACAGAGGAGCCTAGCAGGCCGGAGTCCATGGGATCACAAAAGAGTCAGACACAAATTAGTGATGACAACATGGCCAAAATCATATTGCAAAAGAGTTCTAAAATTATAACAAATAGTTACATTAAGAAGTAGAAGCACAGCTGCTGGATAAAATTAACAGTGGAAATGGAGTCTTATAGTACACATTAGAAGGAATCATGAAGTTAAAATACATAGTACATAGAAGCACCAATAAATAATTTGGAATGAATAGTGAAAAGATTCATGATTTCCAGAATTTTAAGCCTATTCTTCATTCATAATATCTTGAAACAGCTGACTCAGTCTATAAATATTTTCAAGAACAGTCACACATTTGGGGAATTATTTAACATGCAAAATAAAATTTCTCCTGCAAACTAATTTTTAATAAGAAATGTTTACTGAATATCCACTACAGACTAGAAGTGAAATTCGTGTCTGACTCTTTGCAACTCCATGGACTATATATACAGTGCATGAAATTCTCCAGGCCAGAATACTGGAATGGGTAGCCATTCCCTTCTCCAGGGGGATCTTCCCAACCCATGGATCGAGCCCAGGTCTCCCGCATTGCAGGCAGATTCTTTACCACTACAGACTGGTGGTATGACAAAACTAAAGAAGACAGACATCCTAAACTTAAGCAGGTTAAAGTTGCGGGGAAAATTACTAAGCAGCTATACGGTGTGAGCGCTACTACAGACATCATCTCATTCCCTTCTAAACCTGCCCCTTCTGCCCTTGTTCTCTAGTCGGCAGTTCCAACCCCAGAATTCTGGGGTTCCTGCCTCCTTCTCCATCCTCTCCTTCCTATCCCTATCTCTGCTGTCCCAGGAGCTGGCGCCTGGGTGACTGCAACAGCTTCAGTCACTACGATGACTCTGGTTCTGCTCTTGTCCCGTTTAAGAGAATAACCTATCTAAAGTCTAACGATCACTCTGAAATGCTTATCTAACCAGGAAGACCCACTGCTTGGCAACTTCCCATCACCCACGTGATATTTAGTTCCCAGTTTCTTGATATGGCAAAGTCCACGCCTACCCCTTCATACTAAATTCTGACCACACCAGCCTTACCGTTTGAACCACGATTAAGAGAACTGACTGATGATGCTCTGCTCAACACTCGCCTGTCTATCTTTATTGTCTTTATCGTCCTTTTGCCTATTATCCACCCACCTACATGAAAACTCAACACATTGTTTAATATTTAGCTCCAGGGTTACTTTTTCCCAAGAAACCTCAGACTAGACTTTTCTGAGTCTCTCTTTGGGCTGAATTACAGAGGTGCTTCCAGAATGCCCTGTGACGATCACAACCTCTGTGCAAGCAAACTCAGAGTGGGGCAGCAGGGGTCAGCAAGGGGGGGCTGGCAGCCTCAGCCTCACGTGGGAGCCTGTCGCAACCGCAGCATCTCAGACCCTGCCCAGACCTACACCTTGATAACCTGCCTTTTAACAAGACCCCAGGTGAGTCACGTGCACGTTAGAGTTGGGGAGCACTGCTGTAATCCTCTGTTTGTACTTCTGTTTCTCCTGTTAGGCAAACTGGCTCAGATTTTAGTGGGCCTGACAGCCACCTGGGATGCTGACCATGCTGCTAGACTCCCAAGCCCAGCAGAAAGTCCGATGCAACAGATCTGGGGAGGGGTTCAGGTGTACGTATTTTTATAAGCACCCCCTCAGCACTGAGACACGCTGTCAGACTGTGACATACTTCAGATAAGGGAGGAACCAAAGGACAGAGAAGTTGCCAGCTGGGGGGTGGCTAAGTGGTTATACCACAGGATACACAGGGGATATGGAGGACACCAGAATAGAAAGACTTTGTAAATGTCTTGGAAACAAAACAAATTGTCTAAACCCTTCTAGAAGAGCTGGGTCTGTAAAAATAACATAACAGAAAATGGTCAATATTTTGCTTCTCAATTTAAAAAGGCCTATTCTAATGCCCACTGCCCAAACACTAATGGCAACAATATCATATAACCAAAAAACTCTCTAAACTATTCATGAAAAGAAACCTGCTCACTGATAAAGCTCACAATCCAAGGTCTATATTCACCTGAGTTAACTAGTAACTACCACTTTTCAGAAGATAGAAGAAAAACCTTGGGTGAACCTTTTAATTTTCATAAAGCCACTATTAGAAAAATAAAATAAAANCAAAGTAACAAGTTTGAATCAAGAAATACTGAAAAACTTCTAAAAAATCACTACAAAATCCAGTATGCACAGAGTATCTTAAATGTGGTTATTAGCTGAGCCATTTAAAAAAATCCAAAATGATTAGATAACAAACATGAAGCATAAAAAATATAATTAATACTTCTTTACTAGTGCAGTGATATTACATATCTGTTATCTAATATACAATGCCTGGTGTAAATTCTAAGGCTATATGGTTATTAAATCAATTGTTAATTGTTTAATCAGAGAATTTTTGCTGCTTTACTTATGCTATGAGGAAGACTGGAGTTCACTGCCAACAAAGTCTATATGGTTTTGTCCTTGCTGAATTTTAAAGAGATCAAACATAGCGGCATTTTGAAAAAGCAACCACAGACCTGTGATAGCTACAAGCAAAGTTCAACTGTTTAACAGTCAAAACAAGATGATAGTTTTTATTCAAATGCCTTAAATTCACATAAAATTAATCATCATAAACTATAAATGTGATTTACCAGTGTATTTCTAAACATCCCATACCGTCACAATCAATTGACTGAGTTTCGGAAATGCTAATTTAATTTAGGTCAAGACGTGGGCTCTACAATCAATACACATGGATGGAAAAAGGAATATAAATGATATTTCACTCTTTCTTTAGCAAAAATCTGCTCATATTTCAGGGCTAAACTCAGAATGATTACTCAATAAATCATGCACTTATTGCCTGCCTTTATGCCAGATTAGTCAAGGATCTAGTGCAATGCTGTCCAGTAGGACTTTTTCAGATGACCAAAATGTTGAAATACAAACAAAAGCCATAGGCCAATGTGGTGACTGAGCACTTGAAGTGTGGTAGCTACTGCAAACAGAGGAGGTGAGTTTTAAATTTTATTTAATTCAAATTTAAATATCCAAATGTGGCTACCGAATTGGATAAAGCAGCCCAGGTGTTATAGAAGTAAACAAGAAAGACAAAAACTGTGCCTTCCTTAAGTCCACAATCCTGTGTGAAAGATTTTAAATCAATCAATTAATATATAATTTCAGGTGGTGACTGGAAGTAGTCTCTTTAGGAAAGGGTGACTAGGGAAAGTCTAAGGAAATCTGGTTTAAGAACGTATTGAAAGCCCTACTGAAACTGCCTGCATGTCTTGTTCAGCTGTCCTCCAGCACCTATATATTATTTCTTGACCGTGCATGCAGAAGTCATCTATAAAAACTTCCAAAACTGACCCAGTCATGAAACGGTCAAACCGCTTAACCGCAGGCTCAGTTAAGAAAATACGGAAAGAGATCAGGGCAAAACCAATACGCTTTCTCTTCCAAGCCAGCCCAAGGCATCTCTGGAATCTCACTTTGAAATACAGCAATGCAGAGCAAAGATCGCCTCCTCCTCTCGTTCTTCTCATCCCCAGACTTCTACTCTGAAGGGCTAATTCAGTTTCTTAGCCTCTGCTAGATCACAGACCTCAACTCACAATGCTACTGCAAATAAAACTTTAACAAGGCTGCTCCAACCAACACTGCACCTTTTACGCCAATCCTATCACTAGATTTATAATTCCTGGAAAGTTCTTATCTACAGAAACCTTAGAGGCTCTCTGCCGCTTCTATACACTGAATGCCATACAGGCATTCAATGAAAAGTTAAATGACCTTACGGAGGCAAGGGAAACACTGGAGAGATTATCAGTTAAAATACGATGACAAATGCTCTTTTTATACTCAGAAGTGAGGCCAAGTGACTCACAGGCTCGCGGAAGCAGCTCAGAGTTGGTACGAAAAAATGGTTGGGAAGTGAAAAAGGGCGGAACCTGAAGATTCCAAAAGCCCGCGACTTCCAGCTTGTCCCAGCCCTCTGGCCGCAGCTCGCGGGAGCAATGGAGACCGCACCACGGCCCAGGAAGGAAGGCAGTGCCCAGTGGGCGGCGGCGCAGCTCCCTGCGGGCGCCCACTAAGCCGTCAAGCTCCACAGCGCCTTTCGGGGGACCGGGCCCCGTGTCGGCCCCGCTGACTGTGAGCTACCAATTACCTGCTGGTCTCGAGCGAAGAGTAGCGCTCAGGCAAAACCTGGAGGCAGCGCTGGAAGAACCGCACGTGCCGGTCTCGCAGGAAATCCAACCGCTCTCCCTCTCCGCTCCCCGCCGGCCGCTCATCCTCCGTGGTCGCCATACTGCTACGGAAACGACGTCCGCGGCGACCCGGAAGCAGTTGGCGCGCGACTCGAAGGAAACCCGAGACGCGACACCCGGGTGGCGAGTGTGGGGAGGGGGCGTGTGTCCGCCCCCGCCCCAGTTGGCGATTAAAACCGCACGCTGTCAACCGAAGGCCTTACGCGGCAATTTCTCCCTCAGATTTCCCCGTTGGTGGCGCACGATCTTGCCCTTTTGTACTCTAAGCCCAAAGCTTTGGAAACACCTCTCAAACCCTGTAAAATTCAGCCCACAAATCCTTCCAGAACTTTTATCTTCGTTCGATACTTGGGAAGAAGTGCAAGATCAATAGCTTCAAGGTCGTTTTGAAACAATTAGGGCCCTAAACAACATGAAGATGGTATGTACGAAATAGGTCAGTGTAAAGTTGCCGACAGATTCATTTTTGGAGGGCCACAGTTTTAAGCTGAATGGAGAAAATCTACAAAACTAATATGGAGATAACTACTATGCCAAAGCCTTTGACTGTGTGGATCACAATAAACTGTGGAAAATTCTGAAAGAGATGGGAATACCAGACCACCTGACCTGCCTCTTGAGAAACCTGTATGCAGGTCAGGAAGCAACAGTTAGAACTGGACATGGAACAACAGACTGGTTCCAAATAGGAAAAGGAGTACGTCAAGGCTGTATATTGTCACCCTGCTTATTTAACTTATATGCAGAGTACATCATGAGAAATGCTGGGCTGGAAGAAGCACAAGCTGGAATCAAGATTGCCGGGAGAAATATCAATAACCTCAGATATGCAGATGACACCACCCTTATGGCAGAAAGTGAAGAAGAACTAAAGAGCCTCTTGATGAAAGTGAAAGAGGAGAGTGAAAAAGTTGGCTTAAAGCTCAACATTCAGAAAACTAAGATCATGGCATCTGGTCCCATCACTTCATGGGAAATAGATGGGGAAACAGTGGAAACAGTGTCAGACTTTATTTTTGGGGGCTCCAAAATCACTGCAGATGGTGATTGCAGCCATGAAATTAAAAGACGCTTACTCCTTGGAAGGAAAGTTATGACCAACCTAGACAGCATATTAAAAAGCAGAGACATTACTTTGCCAACAAAGGTCCGTCTAGTCAAGGCTATGGTTTTTCCAGTGGTCATGTATGGATGTGAGAGTTGGACTGTGAAGAAAGCTGAGTGCTGAAAAATTGATGCTTTTGAACTGTGGTGTTGGAGAAGACTCTTGAGAGTCCCTTGGACTGCAAGGAGATCCAACCAGTCCATCCTAAAAGAGACCAATCAGTCCTGGGTGCTCATTGGAAGGACTGATGTTGAAGCTGAAACTCCAATACTTCGGCCACCTGATGCAAAGGGCTGACTCATTGGAAAAGACCGTGATGTTGGGAAAGATTGAGGGCACGAGAAGGGGACGACAGAGGATGAGATGGTTCGATGGCATCATCGACTCATTGGACATGGGTCTGGGTGGACTCCAGGAGTTGGTGATGGACAGGGAGGCCTGGTGTGCTGCAGTTCATGGGGTCGCAAGGAGTCGGACACGACTGAGTGACTGAACTGAAATGATGATTAAATCATTATCGATGCTACAAAAGAGATGTTTCTAGTCCTCTAGAATACCAGGAATTGCATGTGCATACGCACACACCCCCACACCCCACAGTTGATTCGCATACAAGGGTTGTGTCACACACACCCCACTGTTGATTTGCATACGAGGGTTGGTATCATTTTCTTTAGGAGACCAGAGATTTTACTCTACGTCAGTGTGTCATCCAGCATCAGTAATGCATCAATTTGCAACAGAAAGTAAACACAAGGTGTTCTCCAAGTATGCATATGCTAGAAAATGAAATAGCATAAGCTTCTTTTTAATTTTCTTCAAAAAGAGTGATTTCCGTTGCTTCAGCCATACAGTCTTCCCTTTAAAAGTTTATGAGATAGTCTTAGGGGAAAATATCCAAACAAGGATCTGGTCTGAACTTGGTTTTTACAGTCAGCTAATAGAAGTTTGGGCATAATTTTGTTAGCCTTCTTAGAAAATGTATTTCTTAAAAAGCATACCATGTGGGCTGGAGTTTTCACCAGTCCAAAGCACCCTGCATAATGTTAGGTACTAGTTACTAATTATTCAAGGTATTCCTACATGTCTTTAACAAATACTGCATTAACAAACTGCCAGGTATGGGCAGAGGGCTGTCTTTGGTGCTTCTGTACAAATATTGAGGCCAACAGTCATTGTCCATAGGTATGCTCAGTCTAGAGGAGCTTTCATTCCATTATTACAATGAAGATTTTTCTCACTTGCACATCAGTTCAGTTCAGTTCAGCCACTCAGTCATGTCCAACTCTTTGCGACCCCATGAACTGCAGCACGCCAGGCCTCCCTGTCCATCACCAACTCGCGGAGTCCACCCAAACCCATGTCCATCAAGTTGGTGATGCCATCCAACCATCTCATCCTCTGTCGTCCCCTTCTCCTCCTGCCCTCAGTCTTTCCCAGCATCAGGGTCTTTCAAATGAGTCAGTTCTTCGCATCAAGTGGCCGAAGTATTGAGTTTCAGCTTCAACATCAGTCCTTCCAATGAACACCCAGGACTGATCTCCTTTAGGATGGACTGGTTGGCTCTCCTTGCAGTCCACGGGACTCTCAAGAGTCTTCTCCAACACCACAGTTCAAAAGCATCAATTCTTTGGCACTCAGCTTTTTTTATAGTCCAACTCTCACATCCATACATGACTACTGGAAAAACCATAGCCTGACTAGACGGACCTTTGTTGGCAAAGTAATGTCTCTGCTTTTTAATATGCACATATACACCACCAAATGGCTGAAGCTATTCAAAGCTCAGATAGAAAGACAATCTATTCAACCTGGCTCTTAGAGGGAAGCCAAATATTTCATCTGATTCTCAGCTCAAGAATCACTAATATGATCCAAAAGGAGAAAATATTTCTATGGTGGACTCACTGAGACAGAATACACTTCCTAGGTAAGTAATCACCCACGTTTTCATGGGTGATTCTGACCACACAAGAATTCTGACATATATATGACAGAATCTAACCCCTCACACAGAATGTCACTGCACATTAGCTAAAAATGTAGAGCACAAGTCCTCAAGGTATAGGAATGACAGAGTATCTATAAAACTGAATGTTATTTAGCTATTCAATGATAATGTTTGAATTATATAGGAACACAGAAAAATGTACGTGACGTAATGCTAAGTGATAATAGTATAGTATCTAAAATGTACTCTAACACTAGCTATTTAAATTCTGTAGGTATATTTTCAGAAGTTACCTTTATAGTAGTAGAATTGTGGGTGCTTTATAACATTTTTCCTTTAGTGTTTTTTTTCTCAATTTCTTAATCCAGTGTAAGAAATATTTGACATCTCTTCCATCAGCCTGTAACTGAAGACATCATTATGTTTATATCCTTCATGCAAAGGATCCATATGATAAATTCCTTATTTATTTCAGATACAACTACAAGGACAAGTTTCTTCAAAATAACTATACTTTCTTTTATTAAAAAAAAAATTAAACAAAAACTGTAAGAATCACTTCACCCAATACAATAGGCTTACCTTAAATACAGGAAACAGAAAGCTGTATTTGTGTACAACAAAAAAGCAACATGTTAGAAAGCAATGCATAAGAAACCTTTACTTTGCTCTATCTTGATGTTATTCAATTCTGTTTTTAAATTATTTTGTCCTATTCTTTATATTTTATTTCTAAACCACCTCAAATCATTTAAAAAAGTTAAGAAGAACAAGTGCAACAAATAAAATGGGCATTCCTGAGTAACAGTGTTTTATATTAATTCTCTTTTTGCACCAAGAATTATATAAATAGAATTCAGTTTCAAAAATCTGGAAGCCATCTACTTTGAATATTAACTGTGAAATAAGAAAAGGTTTTAAACGCTACTCCTAGTAAATTTGTATCTAAATCATTTGACCTAAATGATCAAATTATAATTAAAATACTCTGAGATAAAAGTTATAAGAAATGAAATTTCTTATATTTATCATGTATATGATGCCTTTCGTGTTAAGCTGGGAACTACTTAAAGTTAGGAACTAAGATTTTAAAAAATTTTTTCCATAAAGTTGAGTTGAATGAAGTTAAATTGTGTTTTCATTTATAAAAGTTTGGAATTTTAAAACTGACTCTTTTGACCAAATATATTAGTCTAGCAATTTTAAAACATTTTAAATATCACTAAGAAATATCATAGTCCTTTAAAGTCAGCTTACTTCCGATGTTGTTACAAAACAAAACTTTCATATCTTGAGGCAAACAAAGCACCAAAGAAAAGTGCATCAGTCGAGAAGATGTGAAGGACACAGAGTTTATAAACCACAGTGTGGGCCCCAGGAAGGCTGAACAGAGACGGGAACAGCTAAAGGAGACCAGTAAGACTGTGTATCAGTAATGCAAATAACAGAATATATATGAGGTGAGAGGTGTATTTTTAAAATAAATATTTTCCTTATAAAACAAAGCATGCTTCAAACAAATACAAAATATTTGTTACACAAAAATGTAGTAACCGACAAATTACCAATTGTTAAACTTAGAAAAAGTTCTAACTTATTTCATAACTCAAAAGAAGAAACTTTAAATTTCTGTTACTCAAGTTAATTTAGTTCCAAGTTATAAATGGTACAAAATCTTGATTTAAAAATGTCACTCTATGATTGTCTCAATTTATTTTTCCATGCCATGACAAAAAAAAAAAATCTTTCAAATGTTTTAAATATTTAAATAAAATACTGTTTCTAACATAAACTTATTCAAAGAACTTTTACATCAATAGGCCAACATATATTAATTACCCTCTTAGGATAAACAGGAAATACTAATGACAATGCGTTGTAGAACTTAATACCTGCCAATTCACATGCAACACAATAATCAATCTGAAGAGGCTAATAAATTTTAAGGACATGGTCATTCTCTCCTCCTATAACTCCATATGCTAACATTCTCATCAACTAAAGGAGAATTTCATGATCCCATATTTTCTAAACTCCTTGTCTCCAGGTTGGAATAGCCCTAAGGAGAAGAAGAAAAGAGTATAAATATATAGGGTATTTTTTTAAAGTCTTGATTAAATGTTAACTTTTAAAAAGTATATAGATGTTTTTTAATCTATACACTCTTTTAAAAGTTTATAATAAACTTTTTATTATAAAATATATTATTTACATTACATATATATATTTCTTTTATATTTTGTTTGTTTGTTATATAGTGAACACCCATTCTAACTCCTTCTTTACCTATGTGGGATATGTAGAAGTGGCCCAGAGCCTGTTGGTCCTATCTTTTTGGTCCGTTCTTCCCAACCTTTGGTAGGTTTGTAAAGTCTAGATGGATCTCTACTAACATTGTTTTCAACCTGTAATCGGAAGTAGAATGAGTGCCAGTTAATTTATATGAACTATTTGGTTTGTACTTGTAAGATCCTTAGTAACAGAAAGCAGGTTTAAGAAAACTATTTGATATTCACTAGACAGAAATAAAACTTGTTAATAACTTCTTCAGTAAACTTCTGATTGTGCTCATACAGCTAAAATAAAATTTGGATTACATCAATCTACTAATAAAATGTTAATTTATTTTTTCTAGTTACTTTATTCTACTTCCGCTGTTGTATTTTTTTCTATTTCTCTCATGAGGGAAATATAACACAGCAAAGTATGACAGACAATAAATTTAAGATAAATAATCACCAGTAAGTAGTACTTTGTTTCATCTGTGAGAGTCACTAGTATCTATCACCAATGAAATTAAACAATGCTCATAGCTGCTATAGATCTAAAATACAGGCTCATATAGGAAGAATGGGGACTTCTCTGGTATCTCAGTTGATAAAGAATCTGCCTGCAATGCAGAAGACCTGGGTTCGATCTCTGGGTTGGGAAGATCCCCAGGAGAAGGGAAAGGCTACCCACTCCAGTGTTCTTGCCTGGAGAATTCCATGGACAGAGGAGCCCTGAGGGCCACAGCCCATGGGGTGGCAAAGAGTTACACATGAATGAGCAATTAACACTTTCACTTTTTTTTCACATAGGAAGAAGGAAGAAAAGGACAAAGAGCAGGAAGAGAGAAGGAATTTAGGGTAAAGGAAACCGAGGTGCTTATAATGTGAAATGGTAGAATTAAAGCAGTTGCTTTGTAGTTGGTAAATAAGTAAGTATGAAATAAAGGAGTTGGAGATAAAAGAGAATTGGATTTTATGTTTGTATCCTTACAAATCAAAGAATTATGATAATAACAATGAAAGTAAATTAATCTCAGTGTAGAGTACCTTTTCTTTTAATTTTGCCAGTTTTCTTTGTTTTTCTGCCTTCTCATCTTCCTTTAATTGTCTATTCAGAATTTTCAATTCAAGTTTATGTAAATCCTAAAAGACATATACCAACAAAAAGATAACATTAAGAAGTAAAATTAGCTAGAATTTGTTTCAAAGTTTAGCTGCTTGCATGTAAAATTAAATTAATTTTTAAAATTAAATTGCTTAAATAGCAATATACCTGTAATATCAACTTTTCCAAAAAAGAAAACCTAAGAGCTTTATTTTCTCTGAGTATCAATGTAACACATGCACATCCTTTCTGAATCACTTTCTTTCAACTGCTTCTTGTTTTATTTTATGGGTCAATCTAAAACTTCCTTTCTTTTAATGGGTAAGATTTTCAATTATCAATACAGAGATGTCTAGTTTTAGATCTCTTGCATTATACTTTCTGTATAATACAGGGTTTTCTTTTTTTCTAAGTCTTTTATTATGTGACTTGCTTGCCTTTTTGGGGAATGGATCTTTGGTTGTGTAGGGAGACTTTTATTTTTATATAAAAGAAATACCATTAGTAATGTGTTTTTGCCTATTATTTTTTTATTATTTTTCTTTGTACTTCCCTTATTTTTTGCTTTATGAGTGTTGCCCATATTTGCATGTATATTTTGATGCAATCATAAGTTATCTCTCATTTGTACTCTTTTTCATTTTAAAGTACCCTTCCTTGTCTTTTTAAATATATTTGGACTGAATTCCACCCTATCTGATGAGACTGCAACTTCTTTCTTTGATTAGGATTTTTCTTGTATACATTTGTTTAAAATCACTATAATCCTATCTCTCAGCAATAACTTGATTCCTTTAAGTATATACTGAGTATAATGTGCTAGACCCTAGGGTAAAGCATGAACAAAAAGGACAGAACCCCTGCCTTCATGGAGCTTACACTACGGTAGGAAGATGGACAGCGACCAAGTAACGCAGCCGGTCTAGCGGAGCAGGCAAGGCCTTCAGGGCCTGGCCTGCGGCTGCCTTTCCCGTCTTGCTCCTGCTGGTTTCCGTCTCCCCTAGAATACTGCAGTGTTTACAGCTCCCCCATAAGCTACTGTTACGCTCCTCCAAGCTGCCCATTCATGCTGCTCCCTCTGCTAGGAAAGTTCTCCCCTTCCCTTCCCTTCCCTTCTCTTCCCTTCCAAGACTCAACTACCACCTTCCGTCTCACACAGCTGTGGTACCTTCCCTCCTTGCAATGCACCCCCCACACCTGTCCGTCGGCACCTCCAGCAGCACGCTGAAGTCCCGTTTGCACACCAGCCATTCCCGCCAGACTCTAACCTACTAGAAAGCAGGGAGCGCAGCCTCCTTATTTCGGTGCACTAATACGAGGTCCAGGACAGATACACAAGAAGCATTCAATTAATTTTTGCTGAATTGAGCCTGGAAGTAATACCTCCATGTGTTTCACTGAAAAATTATTCAGGAAATGTATTTACTCACTCTTTCTTGAAACCTGGAAATTTCATCAGCAGCAGTTTTCCTTCTTTCTGCCTTTTCTGTCTTTTCCCGTATCTCCTTTTCAAGTCTCAAGAACTCTGCCTGCTCTTTCTTCTGTTGGGTGTAGGTTTCCAGCAGCAGCTTTAGTTTACACTGGCGCTGACGTGCTCTCTGCTGCTGCTTTTCTCTCTCTTCCTCCTCTTTTAACTGGGAAGCGTTTTTCGTTGACATTTCTATACTTCTCTGTTTTTTCCAAGCTTCAATGGCCAATTTTTGCTTCTTTCTTTGTTCTTCTTTTTGTTTTTGATTATCTTCCTGTTTATTATGAGAAAGTACTTGTATGCTGTCTTTTTCCTTTAATTTGAAAATTTCCTCCATTTTTTGCTGCTTTTTGGTTTTCCAATGCTGAATAGACTACGTGGTTAAAAAGCAATGAAAACAAGAAAAAATATTTTAGTAACCAAAAGCGTTTTATGTTTTATTTTTATTTGGCTGCACTGTGAAGCATGTGGGATCTTAGTTCCCCAACCAGTGACTGAACCTGGGCCTTGACAGTGAAAGCACCAAGTCCTCACCACTGGACTGCCAGGGAATTCCAGCCAAAAGCATTTTAAAATACAACCTCAAATCCATATCTCTTTCTACATAGTGACTGCAGTATGCTTGTTGCTTAGGTTTGAAAAGTGGTTTTTCAAATCAATGCAATTTTTTTCTACTTATCTTTGTAAAAAATTTAACGTATCTTTTAAAACACTAAATACTGGCTACTCCATTGGCCTTTCTCGTCCTCTTTGAATCAGCAGGTACACAAGGACTGCACCTCATGAAGTCTCCTCTTCCCCTTTATCTCTTCCTTCATATTCAGAGGGAAACAGTCCTTTCCTCTGATCATTTCACTTCTGCTTCTGAATTCTCTTTCTAGGCTTAGAATCCTTTCTGAGTGACCCATCTCTGGTCAAACTCAGAAAAGGAGTTAAAAGTGAGGTAGGTGAGGATATGAGCTCTAAAGCCAGGTATCTGGGACCAAATCCTGGCTTTGCATTTACTAGATGTGACCTTGGATGAGTTGTTACATGTCTCTGTTCTCGTTTTGCTCATTTGTAAGTGGTAGGTAGCATTTCTCAAACAGGGTTGTTCTGAAGTTTAAATGAGTCAGTGCCTGGCATGTAGTGCTTCAAAAGTATAAAAATAAAAAAGCAAAATAGCTTCATATCTTTACATGTGGGTATGTAAAGATTATTTAAAATTCTAGCAGCCTTTTCTATTCCATAAAGGAAACTGAATTATTTTCCCCTGAAGTTCCTCATGGTGTATCATTCATTTTCATGAAATACATCCTTATGCTATGTGTACTATATGCAACACAATGTGAGTAGAAACCACAGGTGATTAAAACAATACCAACACCATCTATTCCAGTGCTACTCCAAGTACCAGTCCACAACAATATCAGCAATTCATGCCAGAACGTAAATCAACGTACTTCTTCTTTCAACGAGGAAGTTTTCTATGAAAAAACAGTCACTTGAACTAAATAGCATGCTTACTGGGTAGTTGATTCTGGTATAATCATGGTAACTCATTGAAGACCCGAAATAGTTTGCAAACTAACATCTAGTCCATGGACCGAGTTTGACCAGCACTGCTCTAGGTGAGATAAGACATATGCATAAATACTAGAATATATTTTAGAACGTGCCATCGCACATCACACAAGACATATTAAATAAATGCTACTGACATTCTGAGGGGTGAGTAGGCAAAAGGAAGCAGCATATGATCTGGGCAGATGTAGGTAAGTTAGCAGTGGAGAGTGTAAGAAAGAAGGCGGTTCCAGAAAGTGAGAACAAGATAAGCAAGAGGACGTGGACCAGAAAGTTCATGGAATGTCTGAAAAGAAGTATGTTCATTTAGACAAAACATAGGATATATTAAAGGAAGGGGGAGGTAAGAATGGTAAGTTTTCTACTCAACCTTCTCAACTCAACAGATTTAAAATGCATTCCTGGACTTGCCTGGCCATCCAGTGGCTAAGACTCCATGCTTTCACCACAGGGGGCATGGGTTAGGTCCCTGCTCAGGGAACTTAATATCCTGCATGCTGTGGGGCGTGGCCAAAAAACCCCCAAAATACGAAATTGCATTCCTGATGTTGTACCCCCAAACTTCCCACTTCTCCTCGAACATGTCCTGCTTCAATAAATGACATCTCCTCTTTCACACTCTTTCCTCTATCACCCCTACATCCAATCAATCATCAGGGATCAGGAAACAGAGTGGCTGGGAACAAGAAGAGAAAGCCAGAATCTAGGTGGTTTACTTTTATTGCAAGAAGCACAGTTAAGAGACAGTGCCTGTTCCTCCACCCTAGACAGGTGGCTCTGAAACTTGAGCTTGTTAACAAAATAATCTAGAGGCTTTATTTAAACTCAGATTTTGGGGCCCCACTCCCTGGGTTCAGACTAGGTCTGGGGTTGGACCCTGCTAAATTCTAACAAGTTCCCAGGTGATGCTGACTTTGCTGGCAGCTGGAAAAAAAAATCCCAAACAATTCTTGTGTGTGAAGTCACTCAGTCATGTCCGACTCTTTGCAACCCCATGGACTGCAGCCTACCAGGTTCTTCCGTCCATGGGATTTTCCAGGCAAGAATACTGGAGTAGGTTGCCATTTCCTTCTGGAGATCTTCCCGACCCAGGGATTGAACCCGGGTCTCCTGTATTGTAGGCAGACACTTTACCGTCTAAGCCACCAGGGAAGTCCAAATAATTCTTACTAGATTGTTAATTTGAGATTTTAAAAATGACTTATGTTTCAAATTTTTTCTTAAAGTTTTAAGTGTCGACTTTATGAACACTGACCTTATTTTGGAGAGAAACAATAGCAACAAGAAACCACCAGCTATTTCCTCTAATACTTTATGTGCAGAATCAAGTATTTCTCTAATGCTCCTTTTTGGGTATGTTGCCTGCTGAACTGTCACACCTTTCTTGTCAAACCAATTGAACTAAAATTTACTGCGCTCAAGTCTACAAAAAAACAAAACAAAACTTAGGACTATCTAAGCCTATGGTTCTTGACCAGGGGCAATTTTTACTGTCCAGAGGACATCTGGTAATGTCTGGAGATATTTTTGATCATCATATTTAAGGTGGTGGTACTAGTATCTACTGTGTGGACGTCAAGGGCACTGCTAACCATCCTACAGTGCCCAGGACAGCCCTCACAGTAAAGAATTAGCCAGTCCAAACAGTCAACAATGCCAGTGTTGAGAAATCCTAATCTCAACCAGAGTCAGAATAATATTTTTGTGAAAACGGGACCTTTTAGGTATTTGCTACAATTAAGAGTTACTCTTTACTCTGGGGTTGCCAAAACTTTTGAGTCTTTTAAAATAAGTAGAGAAACTAAAGTTCCAAAACTATTTAGAAACTTTTGAGTCAAACAACTTTTTTTCCTACTGCCCCCTTTATTTTCTATTGAAAATTATGTGGACTTCACTAGTAAGATGACTTTTATCAAAAGCCTGGCTAAATCTGAATTTCCCATTTCCAGTGGACACAGGATGTTGACCACTGTCAGATGTTTTCTGACTCACTGTATTATTTCTCACAGTAGATTATGCTGGATGTTGAGTATGTCAACTATACTTCCACTAAAATGACTTAACTTCTCAATGCCTCAGTTTCACCTGCTATGAGACGGGGGAAACTGTTAACATATCTCACAGGGCTGAACTAAATTAATAATATACGTTAGTGTGTAGTACAGTCCTAGAACACAGATATATACAGTAAATAATAGCTATTACAATTCTTATTACCTCTTTTTTTCTTTCTTCTAGGGCCAGAAAATTTTGATACCATTTCTCATGCTGTTGAACTTCATCCTGCGTTCTTCCGGGAAGGTGCTCTAGAACTTCTCCCATGAATGCTGGCTTCCCTTTATGCTTGTTTCTCGTCTTCACAAAGTTCTGGTGGTCATAATCGTCCCAGCCCCCCTGGCGCCCTCCTGTCAGCTGAAGGAACCTTTCAAACTCTGCCACGGCTTCTGGAAGAGCACTTGGTGTGACTCTGTCCGCAGGAACTTTGGCCGATGCTGCTCTGAAAGCCTTCTCTGTTCCTGGATCACCCAAAGCCCATGTGTCAAGTTTTCTTGATATGGCACTCAACTCATTATTAGTTGTTTTCTCTTCCTTAATAAGCTCTTCATATCTAAAATTTTAAAAATAAAAGTTTGAAAAATAAGATACAAACCAATCCATATTAACCCTTTGTTTTCCTTCAAATTTTACTATTCCCAACTCTTTTGATATCTTCTCCACTTCACAATATTAACATCTATAAATCTAAGCCTTCAAAGAGTTTCCTCAGAGGAAAAAACAATCTTTCAAACTCTTATTTGAGAGTTTATAGACTCCAAATATAAATGAAAATTCACTTTAAACATGCAAAGCAGTCTAAAACCTAAAGCAAAAGAGAGATATTATACTGCTTTTGTGTAAGACTAGTATTAAATTTGTAACAAAAAAATAGTTTACATATAACCATCTAATAAAGAGTTATTGAAAAATAAAGGTAAATAATTTTAAATTAAAATGTGTTTAAAACATACATCAACCTCTGCTCTTCCTTAAAAGTGTTAATTGCATTTTCAATTTCCTCCATCATTTCTCTGAGCTTTTCAACAACTGTAAAAAAAAAAGGGGAAAAATTATGTCATATTATGACTAAGAACTAAAAATTAGTTAGAAAATTAGAATGTTCTCTTAATTAAAAACCATTTCTCAGCCTAAAAGATAAGAAAAAAATGTACTTTTAAAAAGTAAATTTTTATGATTGCGATTTTTTGAACAGATTTTTTCCTAAGCATACATACCTTAAATATTATTTTTTTCCAAAAAGCTTCTACATCATGTATGTTTTCTGTGACTTGCACTTTTTCTTTAACAATATGTTGTAATTAACTTTCTACATCAACATACATATGGTATTTCATTCTCTGTATGGCTACATGGCATTTCATTGTCTAATGCTACCCTGAATCATTAATTCTCCAACTGATGAACCTTTAAATAGATGCAATGATGTAGTAACTATCTTTGCATATTTTTGCATGCTCAAATAAATATTTTTATTTTATTTTTTAATTTTTATTTTATATTAGAGTATCATCGATTAACACTGTTGTGCTAGTTTCAGGTGTACAACAAAGTGATTCAGTTACAAATATACATGTATCTATTCTTTTTCAAATTCTTTTCATATTCAGGTATTATATAATATCAAACAGAGTTCCCTGTGCTATACAGTAGGTCTTTGTTGCCTATTTATTTTGCAGTACGTACATGTCAATGCCCAACTCCCGATCTATCCCTCCCCCCTCAAATAAGTATTTTCAGAGGATAACTGATAACTTTAAGTGCTGAAGTTAAAAAGCATGCCCACCTTACAGTATGCAAACACTGTCACACCATCCTTCAAAGAGGCTCGACCTCTTTTCAGCTCCTGAGAGTGCTCCTTCTCACGTAATTCCAGCCATTTCCAAAATGATCAGAAATTTATTGTCACTGATTTAACTGACATTTTTATAATAATTAATAAGCCTGAGCCCTTTTCCATATGTGTTTTCGGTTTCTTTGGCTATAATATGCAACTTATAATCTTTGCCCATTCTCTTGTTCTGTTACCTTTGTTGCTCGAATTTGTAGACACTCTTTATACATTATGCATATTAGCTTTCTAAGTTACATATATATTGCTATTATCCTAATTTGTATTTCAACTTTGCTTATAAGTTTGAGGTATTTTTGAATAGTCAATTATGTCCACTTTTTTATGATTTCTGACTTTTTTCATTCTTATAAATTATAATATAATCATAAAAATATTAATCCATGTTCTTTTCTAATATTTTTAATGGTTTCGGATACTTACGATTTTTAGTGCTTATTATGCTATAAGCGGTGCACAACGTGCTCACATGCAGGCTCACTTCATCCCCGCAGCCCTGAGTAAGGCTGTACGATTCTCTCCACTTCAGAGCTCAGTAAGTGGAAGTTCAAACAGACTGAGTAACCTGCCTGAAACCGCTTACCTGACAATTCAAGGACTTGACCCAGCGCGTGTCTGACCTGAAGCCCATACACCCGAGCACTTCACTGTACGCTTTGGGTTTACTGTACTGCTCTGCTCTCTCAGCAATGAGTGTTGGTGTAAGGAAAGAATAAGGACACAATTCTGTCTTTCACAAACGACTAAAATTTGCCCTAACACTACCTAGCCATTCCCTCAGGCGTTTAAAATGCCTCTGAAAGGCAGTAATTTCAAAACGCAAATGATGGGAAAATACTAAGCAAAGAATCAAGAATCTTTTTCACTTCATCAGCTGAACCTGAATCTTTGCATACCACAGATTCTTCATCTGAAGCTGCTGCTGCAGCTAAGTCCTTGTCGTGTCTGACTCTGTGCGACCCCAGGGATTCTAGCCCACCAGGCTCTTCTGTCCATGGGATGCTCCAGGCAAGAATACTGGAGTGGGCTGCCATGCCCTCCCCCAAGGGATCTTCTCGACTCAAGGATCGAACCTGTATCTCTTATGTCTCTTGTACTGGCAGGCGGGTTCTTTACCACTACTGTCACCTGGGAAGCCCTATTCATCCTATATACGACATTAACGTCTGTTCTACTTCGTAATTTATAAGAGTTTGATAGTATTTTAAAGATTAAAAAAAATACATAAACAGCAGATATTACAGTTTTCCTATGTTTCCTTATTAATACCTAACAAAAAGTAGGGTTTAGTTCCTTCATTAATGCCAAATAGAAAAATTTATTTAAAAAGTATATATTTTTCTAATGAACAATAGAGAAAACTAATACATAAGAAAAAATTAAAAAATGTAAATTTACTTACAATCAGGTGTAGGCTTCGCATCTTTTAACTGATGCTGAAGCTTCTTTACATTGCTGTATATTTTGGCCAATTGTTGCTGGATTTTTGCTCCTGTAAGGAAGAAGGATGTACTGTAAAATAAGTCTATGACAAATGTGGTTACCAACTCAGGATTCTTCACAGAAGACTGATCACCCTCACCTAGTAAATTACGTGAAGAACAATTAAAGAACAAAAGATGGTTTATGAGTGTTAAAATAGCCTGAACCAACTCTTGCTCTAAACAAAGCATCTAATTTCGTCTAATATTTTAAGGCACAATAGATTAAGTCTTATTATAACCTGTGCCAGGGAAATATCCTTAGAAATATTTTTTTTAACTCTGGAGACTGAATTATTGGACACTCATACATGGATCAGAAGCATCATTTTAGTCACGTTTTATTCTTTAACAGTTTTTTCCTTTTTGCTATAATTTATGGACATAGAGTTGATCTCAACTATTGTTAGAATACTAAAACTGTATAGCCAATATTAATGCTATGAATACCGACAAACTGCCCAGTGACAATTTACTTTATCTGACCACACCATCGAAGACAGGCTGGGGACACCCACTGGTGTCACAGTAATGGCCGTGAGGAGATGTCTCAGGATGCCATTTACTGGTGTCTATGCTTGCCCGGAAAACCTCATGGATGGAGGAGCCTGGTGGGCTGCAGTCCATGAGGTCGCTAAGAGTCAGACATGACTGAGCAACTTCACTTTCACTTTTCACTTTCATGCACTGGAGAAAGAAATGGCAACCTACTCCAGTGTTCTTGCCCGGAGAATCCCAGGGACGGGGGAGCCTGCAGGGTTGCCATCTTTGGAGTCGCAGAGAGTCGGACACGACTGAAGTGACTTAGCAGCAGCAGCAGCATGCTATAGGTTTCCCTGTAGCACAGATGGTAAAGAATCTGCCTGCAATGCAGGAAACCTGGGTTCCATCCCTGGGTCAGGAAGATCCTCTCGAGAAGGGAATGGCAACCCACTCTAGTATTCTTGCCTGGAGAATCCCCATGGACAGAGGAGCCTGGTGGGCTACAGTTATATTCAAAACAAACCCAAATATGCATATATGACTTTGGCTTTTTCCATTTTTTATTAAAATTCCAGAGTTCTATAAAAGTAGAAACTTTACCCAATGTATTTTATAGGCACCTACTCATTTTTGGAATTTTAGGTCAAGAAACATCCCTAGTAATCAGGAAAGTGTTTTCTGTTGTTTTACATTTGCCATAGTTTGAACAGCTACAACGATACCACTACAGGGAAAATATCTTTTATTAATTCATTTGGAACTGAGATTCTGCACTATAGGCAAAGCATTCAAGTACAACATTACATAAATGCATGCTAAAATGTGACATAATATTTGAGGTAAAGTATAGCTATTTAATGCTTTTGAGCTGAAACATGTGAAAGGGAAATTTCTATATCCTTATACTAATGCAATGCATTCCTTCTTCTCCAAGATAAGATAAACACAAAGTGTGAATAAAAAGAAGCAAAACTGTAGACAAAGGGAAATTAGAAAATAAAAATAAAGTGCCTTAAAAGGGAGAAAATCAAGTGACTTAAAATGCACAGAATGGAGATACTCTACTTAATGGCATGATAGAGAGACAGAAAGATCAGCCTTTTTGTCTGTAAAAGAACTAAGGGGTATTAAGAAACATTAATATTAAGCAAGGGATACTCAGATTCTTCTATAAATCAAAGAGAACAACTGGAAATCTGGCATTTATGTTAGGTCTCATCATTCCAACAGAAGAGAGAGAATGATTCTTGCCACCATCTGACAAAAGATAACTTTTTAAAATATTGCAATCTTATATTCTGAAAGGAGAAACTTACTAAAAATTTCTTTTAATTAACTATAAAGGTGTCTCATGAGCAGTATAACCTCTATGTAATAAGTCTCAATATCTTACAAAGTTCAGCTGGTTGATAACCACTGTTGTGCTGTGCTAAGTCGATTCAGTTGTCCTGACTCTTTGCGACCCTATGGACAGTAACCTGCCAGGCTCCTCTGTCCACGGAATTCTCCAGGCAATACTAGAGTGGGTTGTCATACCCTCCTCCAGGGGAATCTTTCTGACCCAGGGATCAGACACATCTCTTATGTCTCCTGTATTGCCAGGTAGGTTCTTTACCACTAGCACCAACCTGGGAAGCCCCTGAAAACCATTACTTTTCCTTTAATCAAAGTTAAGAAGTGTTTTTACTATAAAATAAAGACTTTGCAGTTTAAAAAATCTACTCTACAAGGAAACAAGGTGTTCTTGTAAAATTCTTTTTTAAGGCCAACATTTAGTACAGTTAATGATTATTAATATTCATAACAAGCAGTAGAACATATTCAGTGTACAATCTCTAACACTTTCTTATATATTAGGTTGGCCAAAAGGTTCATTTGGGTTTTTCCATAACATCGTACAGAAAAACCCGAACGAAGCTTTGAGCCTATCCAATACTATCACATCAGATGCACAGACAGCTCTCCTATGGTAGAAATGGCAGGTTTTATTAACATATCACAGACAAGTAAGGTCGGGTTTAAGCAACTATGTGACTTGAGCACTTTAACAGTCATACGGGTTCTGAATCTGTTGATGCTTACTGAATGTGGGAATCAGTCAATAGGATCCTGGTGATGAGCTAAGATAAGACACCAGTAATTAGTTTTCCTTTATTTTTTAAATTTGTTGCCCATAATCAAAGCTTTATTTAAAAACTGACACCAAAATACGAGAGCGTTGCTGCAAACCTTGAAAATTAAACATAATTACATTATCTTGGTAGATAACTGGAATCGCTGAACTGAAAAGGCTTTCTGTGATAGGACACAGATTCAGGAAGTTGTGTGGCTCATTAGTACTGCTTTCTTCTAAATGAACATCCTTCTGAGTCTGGCGTTTCCTCCTATTGGCTGGCACAACAGTTGAATAACCTACACCAAACACCACGGTGTAAATCTGGCTGTAAACCAGATTTGTAGCTACCTGGACATTTTACATACATAAAGTAAGAATTTGGACTTCGAACCTGCTGTGTCTTTTTAAGTTTTTCTGTTCCTCTTCCAAGGAAGGCTATAGTACATCTCCAGCTAAAGGCGTGTTGATCCTTCTGCAAGCCCAGCCTGTGCAGATCTTTAAGGCACCCTTCCTTTATTTTAAAATAATGTAGTTTCATTACTGATGTGAAAACCAGAAAACAAAACCCTCTTTTTCCTATTAAGACGAAATATACACAGGAAACAATACAATTATAAATATCCAGACTAAATAGTGACCCCCCAAAATAAATACATATGCTTACAAGAGAAACTCATTACACCAACTAGACGGCATCATGACAGAGACTGTAACGGTCAGTGCCCAAGGACAAGGCACAGGGCAAAACTATGACTATGTATCTCTCAATGGGTTTTGTTCATCATGAACTCAACTTACTTTCTGTTTTCCTGCTGTTAATCAGTTTATTTTCCAATTCTTCCAGCATACTATGTTCAATTCTGAAGTCACTTTTTTGGTTGTAGAAATGACTGTGTTTGTCTTTTTCTAGATTAATAACCCTTTAGGGAAAGAAACAAATAGCATAACTATGATTTAAGTACATTTTTAATTGTTTAAAATATAAATATACTTACAATCTGTACTTTGTATTAATTCATCGAAGGATTCAAAATAAAATTACTTGGATCAATAAGGCTATGGAATCAAAACAGTAGTTAGGAAAGTGTTGTGTGTGTGTGTGTATACTAGTCGTTCAGTCGTGTCCAACTCTGTGACCCCATGGACTATAGCCTGACAGGCTCCCCTCTGTTCATGGAATTCTCCAGGCAAGAATACTGGAGTGGGTTGCCATTCCCTTCTCCAGGGAATCTTCCCAAATCAGGGGTCGAACCTGGGTCTCTGGCACTGCAGGCAGATTCTTTACCATCTGAGCCACAGGGAAGCAAAATGCACTATAGAAATGCAAGTTATTAATACTAGTAAAACTGAAGCTTCAAAAGGCAAACAATCTATGAAGGCAGGGATTTTAGTGCTTTTATGGGATATGGTCTACATTTACTTCAAAGCTTCCTTCATCTCATCCTTGCTCCCTGGCCTTAATCCATCTATCAGTAAGGATTTCTGATGTTAGCTTGAACCTGAGGTAAAAACAAAACAATTTACCATCAAGAAACTTCTTTGGTTGGACAAAGAAATTTATTTTCTCAACATCTGTTTTCTTTCTCCCACAAGGTGGAAATTAATATAACTACTTCTCCACTAATCCTGAATTTAATGAGTGGTGGAGTATCTCTGGTCACTGATTTCCTTTCCTCTATTCTGAGAGGCAACTATATTAGGCAGAGTTTCCCATTCTTTTTCACTTGCCACACCAAGAAAAGAATTTAATATATAAGGCACACTGAGGTAAATATATGAGAATGCCACAGGCCCTACCTGGCTGCCCCAAGGTTGAGGGAGTCATAACTTCAATCTGTGTTGGGAGGAGGGAAGGAGGAGAACAGAGACATCAAAAAGATTTTAGTCTGCAGGTCAGTCTGACAGACTGAGGGCAGCTCCCGGGGTCCTGCACTGAGAGCTCCAGCCCATCGCGACTCTGGCTGGGGTGGGGAAAGGTACTAAAATCAAACAGAAATGCCCATCACAGATACAGGCTACGCTATGACAGTAAGTTATGTTTTGCTACTCTGGATTAGAAATATTAACCCATCAGTTCAGTCGCTCAGTTGTGTCCAACTCTTTGCAACCGCATGAATCGCAGCACACCAGGCCCCCCTGTCCATCACCAACTCCCGGAGTTTACTCAAACTCATGCCATCTCATCCTCTGTTGTCCCCTTCTCCTCCTGCCCCCAATCCCTCCCAGCATCAGGGTCTTTTCCAATAAGTCAATTCTTCGCATCAGGTGGCCAAAGTATTGGAGTTTCAGCTTTAGCATCAGTCCTTCCAATGAAAACCCAGGGCTGATCTCCTTTAGGATGGAATGGTTGGATCTCCTTGCAGTCCAAGGGACTCTCAAGAGTCTTCTCCAACACCACAGTTCAAAAGCATCAATTTCTCGGCGCTCAGCTTTCTTCACAGTCCAGCTCTCACATCCATACAAGACCACTGGAAAAACCATACCCTTGACCAGACGGACCTTTGTTGGCAAAGTAATGTCTCTGCTTTTTAATATGCTATCTAGGTTGGTCATAACTTTCCTTCCAAGGAGTAAGCGTCTTTTAATTTCATGGCTGCAGTCACCATCTGCAGTGATTTTGGAGCCCCAAAAACTAAAGTCTGACACTGTTTCCACTGTCTCCCCATCTATTTCCCATGAGGTGATGGGACCAGATGACATGATCTTAGTTTTCTGAATGTTGAGCTTTAAGCCAACTTTTTCACTCTCCTCTTTCACTTTCATCAAGAGGCTTTTTAGTTCCTCTTCACTTTCTGCCATAAGGGTGGTGTCATCTGCGTGTCTGAGGTTATTCATATTTCTCCCGGGAATCTTGATTCCAGCTTGTGCTTCTTCCGGCCCAGTGTTTCTCATGGTGTACTCTGCATATAAGTTAAATAAGCAGGGTGACAATATATAGCCTGACGTACTCTTTTTCCTATTTGGAACCAGTTGATTGTTCCATGTCCAGTTCTAACTGTTGCTTCCTGACCTGCATACAGGTTTCTCAAGAGGCAGGTCAGGTAGTCTGGTATTCCCATCTCTTTCAGAATTTTCCACAGTTTATTGTGATTTACACAGTTAAAGGCTTTGGCGTAGTCAATAAATCAGAAATAGATGTTTTTCTGGAACTCTCTTGCTTTTTGGATGATCCAGAGGATATTGGCAATTTGATTTCTGGTTCCTCTGCCTTTTCTAAAACCAGCTTGAACATCTGGAAGTTTCTGATTCACGTATTGCTGATTATGTCAACCCATAAAGATACTCAAAATGTAATAATGGAGACAAACTGCCAAACATAAAAAAAGATGCTCAACCTCTCTCATAACATGAGAAAAGAAAATTGAAACTATACCATGGTAACATGGTACATCTATTAGACTGGGGGGAAAAAAAAAGTTTACTATATTCTGATGATAAAACTGTGGGGAAATGGGTCCTCTTGTATATTGTTGGTGAAATCATAAATGGCCTATCAAGGACAATTTAGAAATTATTCACTATTCATCACAATCATGAATAATCAGAAATTATTCATTACAATCACAAATTCATATACCTTTGGTCCAGCATTTCTACTTGTAGGAATTTTTCCTAAAGATACACTTACAGATGTGCAGAACGACATGAGCCTCCATGGACGCTGCAGCTAATTCAGCATTTATCACTGTAACTCAGTGTTCTCTGCAGCCTGGTGTCGACCACTAAGGGGCAGAGGAAGTAGGCGGCGCCACGCGCACACACTGGGACACAGCGCGGTGCCTGCCTATGTTCTCACAAGGGAAGACCTCCAAGACACCCTCCTTTGTAACGAAGGTTCTGTATGAAGATGCTAAGACATACTAGAGAATGCACACTGATTCCCCTCATATCGTTTCATATGATATATACCTCATGTCACTCTAACTCAACAACTTTACCCGTCTTTTTCCTCTCTTCCATCTACCTTTTCTTCTCCTTCCTCTTCCTTTTTTCTTTAGTACGCTAAAGGAAACCCACTACATTATGTTCTTCCACCCCACATGTGTCAGTGTGCATTTCTAGAGATTGTGAGCATTTGATTTGTGTAACTATAACAACATTATCATGCCTGAACAAAATCAGTAATTTTTTGGTATCTAGGATATACTCGTTAAAAATACAAAACAAGATGCAGAACAATGTATATAGTATGCTACCATTATAAAAAAAAAAGGAACCATCTGAATATGCATTTTTATGTCCTTAAAAAAGCATATAAAATACCTGTGGAAGGATACCCAAGAAACTAAAAATAGTGGTTGTTTAGGGAGAAGGGAAACAGGTGATACGGTCACAGGTGAAACAAAGCCTTCTACTGTGGGTCCTTTGATATGAATTGATTATTGAATTATATGAATGTATAATCTATTCTGAAAATAAAAATATTACAAATGGTGTTCTTCCCTTTATACTCAATGAGAACTGTTGGATTCAATTTCAATGGATTTTTCTAACACTCTTTCAAGGAGTTTTTCCAAAACCTTATAACAGATGAAGAAAGCCTAATCAGAGTTGTAAAACCCATACACAGGCAAGGAACCTATCGATACTGGCATAATCTAACTGGCTTGCTATATTTATGTACATTAATCATCTGGTAGATTATCTTATCTAGAAAAAAAACATGAACCAGAAATCTTAACCTAGAGTCCAAGTCTATCTAAGATAACGCATTTTATAAATTAAAAAAAAAATTGTAGTTTATCAAACTCTGAATATTAAAAATTAAATAATTAAACCAATACAGTCAGAATTCAGTCTCACAAGCCTGGACTATGGTATAACTTGTTAAAATTCAAACAGTATACTATTTACTGGTAGAATTTCTAAACAGATAACTGCCACTAATTCTGGTCCAGAGATCATTTCTTACAAAAGCTTTCTTTTCTCTTGGTTCTTCAGCAAATTGACACTGCATAAATTCAGAGCAGTGTTTTATAAAGCCTCCAACTATAGGAGAGGGTTGGCTGCTCTGAACTCTAGTTCTTTTACCTTTACTCATTGTATTTATTAAATCACATGGTGCGACTAACAATGCTGAATCTTCAGTAAATGTCACTGGTTATTTAAAAAATACATAAACACTAAAGCTTAAAATAAATGCCAACTTCTCAATTTGTCTAGTCATAATGTACAGGGTGAATCTGAAAGAGATAGAGACCAAGGAAGGGAGACCAATTAAAAGGCCAGTAAAAAAAAAAAACCTCAAGAGTACAGCAGGACTCTTCATTAAAATTATTCACTCAAAAATATTTACCAAGTGCTTACTTTGCTGTCAAAATGTATTCAATCTGTTACTTGATATATGTGATCTAAAGAAATCTTTTATTCTCCTTGATATACACTGATTCAAAATAGTTAAAATGTAAAGAACTCTACTTAAAATTAACTTTATATTAAATAGTTTACTATCATTTGTATATTTCACACTTCTCACAGGTCCCTTGTTTTACATTTGAAAGGTTAGTGACTAGTCTTTGGTATGGGATTAGATAGAGTGGAGGAGAATTAACTTTATATTGTTCATAATAAAATGATGAGCAATGTTCCTTGAAGATAATGTTCTTATACTTACTGATTTTTAAATTTTTCAGCTGTACGTATGAATTCTGCTTTCTTAGTTCGACTAACTTTCTGCTTCCAGTTTTGAAGATGAAAAGGACGAATTCCACCTGAAGTACCAAGACAGCCATCATTCTGAAGAGAAAACAAGAACAAATTTATCTTCAGTAATAAAAATGGTGGGAGATGAACGTGAAATTCTTTCCAGAGTGCGTGCTGTCCCTAGTTGCTCAGTCGTGTCTGACTCTGTGGCCCCATGGACTGTAGCCCCCCAGGCTCCTCTGTCCATGGGATTCTCCAGGCAAGAGTACTGGAGTGGGTTTCCATGCCTCCTTCAGGGCATCTTCCCAACCCAGGGATCAAACCAGGTCTCTTGTATTGCAGGTGGATTCTTTACTGTCTGAGCCAGCAGGGAAGCCCTTTTTCCAGGGATAAAATATCAATAATGGAGTTTCTCAGGGGATAATTTTGAGGCCAATCTTATTTAATTTTTAAAAATACAGCTTGTGGAAGAAGGAACATGTGTTTTAAAATGCTAAATTAGTGAGAAATGTAATGTCTTCAGGGATTTTTAGAAAAATCTCTTAATTCTTTCATTCATTCATTGATTTACCAATATGCATTGAACACTTATGATGTGACAGGTGCTGGCCTAGACACTAGGGAAACAAAGGTGGTCCATGATAACATGTGTGTGCTGTGCTAAGTTGCTTCAGTCGTGTCTGACTTTTGTGACCCTAGGGACCACAGCCCGCCAGGCTGCTCTGTGCATGGGATTCTCCAGGTAAGAATACTGGAGTGGGTTGCCATGCCCTCGTCTAGGGGATCTTCTGGACCCAGAAGATCGAGGAATCGAGCCCACATTTCCTATGTCTCCGGCATTGGTAGGCGAGTTCTTTACCACTAGGGCCACCGGAAAAGTCCCCATGACAATATGGCCTCTGCCTTAAAATCTAGAGAGGGAAACAGACTTAAAAAGAAAAGAGCAAATAAGTGATACACTTTTTAAAAAACCAACACGGTTTTTTAAGGAAAATAAACAGTGCTATTAAGGAAATAAACAGTGCTGAGATGAAGATAATGGGGCCAAGGGTTTTTTTGTTTTTTTTTCCTTTTCAGTTAGAATGGCCACAGAGGTCTATTTGAGGGGATGATGTTTGAAGAAGAACAGAACCAACCTGGCCAAAAGCTGCAGGGAAAGGTGTGCCAGGCAGAGGGACCAGCAAGTCCAAAAGCCCTCCAGCAGGAAAAAAGCTTGGCTGGTTCAAGCAAAGCAAAGCAAAGAAAACTGTGACATTAAGATGAGTGAAGTGCAGAGCTTTGCAGGAGATGAGGGTATGGAGCCAGGCAAGTGGCATATCACACCAGCATTTTAAGTCACTACAGGAGTCTGGATTTTACTGAAGGGTTTAGAGTAGGAGAATGCCATGATACATTTAATTTTTAAAGAAAATCTTTCTAGTCTTTAAAGAATAAATTGGGGGAGGTGGAGGAAGAGGTGAGGCAAGGCTGGAAGCAGGAGAACCAATGAGACAGGTGATGCAGCAACAAAGACACAGAATGATGGTGTTCAGGTCTACCAGAGTGGTGGTGGAGACTAAAAGTAAAAAGCCTAAATGTATCTTGGAGGTATAATCAAGAGGAATTGCTGACAGCCTGAGAGATTAAAAAAAATAATAATAAAGGAACCAAGCCTTCAAATTTTGAGGAGCAAGCAAGAATAAAGTAATGATTTTAGGTTAATACTTGCAAAATTGAGATTTATTTCACATACCATAGAATGTGCACATAAAGTTTACAGTTCAGTGTTTTTTACTATATTCACAAAGTCATGCAATCATCAACACTATCTAGTACCCGAATATTTCCATTATACCCAAAAGAAAGCTCACCCTCATTAAGCAGTCACTTCCCATACCCTTTTTCCACCCACTTCCTGGTAATCATTAATCTATGTTCTGATTCTGTGGATTTGCCTGTTCTGGACAACTAATATAAACAGCATCATACAATATACAACCTTCTGTGTCTGGCTTCTTTCACTGAGTATAATATTTTAAAGATTCATTCATGTTGTACCATGAATCTGTACTTCATTCCTTTTCATGGCTAAGTAATATTCCACAAGAATCTAACATATTTTGTTTATCTACTCATCAGCTGACGGACAATTGGGTTACTTTCACTATTTGGTCACCATGAATAATGTTACTAAGAACATTTATGTACAAGTTTTAGTATAAATTCAATTTTCTTGGGTATTTCTAGCAGTGGAATTTCTGGATCACAGGTTAATTCTTTACTTTCCCATTTGTGTTATTTTTTACTGTTACAGTGGAAGCATTCCTCTAAGTCCTTTATCAGATAAATGACCTGCAAATATTTCCCCCAATTCTGAGTTCTTTCCACTTTCCTGATAATATCCTTTGAAGCACAGAAGTTTTGAAGTTTTGAACTTTTGAAGAACTATCCAACTGTTTTCCACAGTGGCTGCATCACTATATAATCTGACATTGCCCTCAGCATGATATGGGAGTTCCAGTTTCTTCACATCCCCACCCACATTTTCTACTGTCTATTTCTCTTTTACTATAATCATCCTAGTGGATGTGAAGTAGTATCTCACAGTGGTTTTGATTAGCCCATAATGACTTATGACGCTGAGCATCTTTTCATACACTTATTGGCTATTTCCTTGAAGGAATACCTACTTATATCTTTTCCAATTGTAAAACCTGGGTTGTCTTTTTGAGTTTTAACAGTTTTATATTTTTAGATGTCCTTATCAAAATATGATTTGCAAATGTTTTTCTCCCATTCAGTAGGTCATCTTTTCATTTTGCTGATATTCCCTTTACTGTGCAGAAGGATCTTTTCAGTTTGATGTAGCCTCCTTCAACTTTAGATAATTATTTCACTGGACACAGAATTCTTGGTCAACAGTCCTTTTCTTTCAGCATTTTGACTATGACTGTTATCCCATGGGGCTTCCCAGGAGATGCTAGTGGTAAAGAACCCACCGGCCAATGCAGGAGACACAGACACAGGTTTGATTCCTGGGTCCACAAGATCCCCTGGAAGAGGGCACAGCAACCAACTCTAGTATTCTTGCCTGGAGAATCCCATGGACAAAGGAGCCTGGTAGGCTACAGTCCATAGCGTTGCAAAAAGTCGGGCACAACTGAAGCAATTTAGCATGCACACGTATTATCCGATACTTTTGAAGTCCAAGGTTTCTGTTGAGAAATCAGTTGTTAATCTTATTGAGAAAGCCTAATATGTGTTGAATTGATTTCTCTGTTGGTGCTTTCAGAATTTTCTTTTTGTCTCTTTCTTACAGTTTGATTATGACATGTCTAGGTATGGATCTTGAAGTTCACTAAATTCCAACAATGTGTAGATCAATACTACAGCCATCATTTCTTTAAACATTCTTTCCCCGCTTTTCTCTCTCTCTCCTTTTGGGTCTCTCATTAGCGGTGGCATCTGATGGTGTTTCACAGGTCTTTAATGCTCTGTTCACTTTTCTTCATTCTTTTTTTCTTTAGATTCCTCATCCTGGATAATCTAAATTGACCTACCTTCTTCTGCCAGCCTAAACGTAGTGGTGAGTCTCTCTAGTGAATTTTTCATTTGCATTTTTGTACTTTTTAACTCCAAAATTTCTATTCCATTCTTTTCCTATAACTTCTCTCTTTGTGAGTTTGGTTCAGTCGCTCAGTCGTGTCTGACTCTTTGCAATCAATCCCATGAACTGCAGCACGCCAGGCTTCCCTGTCCATCACCAACTCCTTGAGTTTACTCAAACTCATGTCCATTGAGTCGGTGATGTCATCTAACCATCTCATCCTCTGTTGTTCCCTTCTCCTCCCGCCTTCTATCTTTCCCAGCATTAGTGTCTTTTCAAATGAGTCACTTCTTCGCATCAGGGAGCCAAAGTATTGGAGTTTCTGCTTTAGCATCAGTCCTTCCAATGAATATTCAGGACTTAATTCCTTTAGGATGGGCTGGTTGGATCTCCTTATTGTCCAAGGGACTCTTTAAGAGTCTTCTCCAACACCATAGTTCAAATGCATCAATTCTTCGGCACTCAGCTTTCTTTATAGTCCACTCTCACATGACTACTAGAAAAACCATAGCTTTGACTAGATGGACCTTTGTTGGCAAAGTAATGTCTCTGCTTTTTAATATGCTGTCTAGGCTGGTCATAGCTTTTCCTCCAAGGAGCTAGCACCTTTTAATTTCATGGCTGCAGTCACTACCTGGAGCGATTTTGGAGCCCCCCAAAATAAAAGTCTCTCAGTTTCCCCATCTATTTGCAATGAAGTGATGGGACCAGATGCCATGATCTTTGTTTTCTGAATGCTGAGTCTTAAAACAACTTTTTCACTCTCTTTCACTTTCTTCAAGAGGCTCTTTAGTTCTTCTTCACTTTCTGCCATAAGGGTGGTGTCATCTGCATATCTGAGGTTATTGATCTTTCTCCCAGCAATCTTGATTCCAGCTTGTGCTTCATCCATCCTGGCATTTCTCATGATGTACTCTGCATATAAGTTAAATAAGCAGGGTGATAATATACATCCTTGATGTACTCCTTTTCCGATTTGGAACCAGTCTGTTGTTCCATGTCCAGTTCTTATTGTTGCTTCTTGACCTGCATACAAATTTCTCAGGAGGCAGGTCAGGTAGTCTGGTATACCTATCTCTTTAAGAATTTTCCACTGTGTGTTGTGATCCACACAGTCAAAGGCTTTGGCATAGTCAATAAAAACAGAAATAGATGTTTTTCTGGAACTCTCTTGCTTTTTCGATGATCCAGCAGATGTTGGCAATCTGATCTCTGGTTTCTCTGCATTTTTCTAAAACTAGTTTGAACATCTGGAAGTTCACGGTTCACATACTGTTGAAGCCTGGCTTGGAAAATTTTGAGCATTACTTTGCTAGCGTGTGAGATGAGTACAATTGTGTGGTAGTTTGAGCATGCTTTGGCATTGCCTTTCTTTGGGATTGGAATGAAAACTCACCTTTTCCAGTCTCTTTATAGATATTTTCTATTTGGTGAGACACCATTCTCATACTGTTTTATTTGTTTAGAAATGGTTTTCTTTAGCTTTTTGAACATGTTTAAATCAATA